TACTCACCCACTCACCCACCCACTCACCCACTCACCCACCCACTCACACAATCAGCCACCCACCCACTTACCCTGTCACCCACCCACACACTCACCACACTGCAGGTCATAACCCCTTCTGCTTTCTCCCTCGCACTACCCCACTCTGGAATCTCCTCCTCCCAGCACCATCGCCTCTTCCCCACCCAACCTCTTACAACACCAACAATAACCGCGCTCAATTCAACAAACGCGCTACGCTCCGATCTATCTACCGCACCTCCGATGCGAGCGCTGTTTGTTGCTGGCCGCGTGTCGCTTATGTGTGAGCCAGCGAGTGAGAGCATGCGTGGATCGGTGGCGCAGTGGTTAGCGCACCGCGGCCTTCTGCTGGTGACCCAGGGGCCACACGGGGGCCACTTGCAATGGCCCACCGAGAGGTATGCCCCTTCGGGACGTGCGGAGGTACACACGAGTGGGACGTACGGATGTGTAGGGGGCCACGGTGGCTAGGAGATGTTAACTCCCTCGCCTGATATACAGGAGGTCGTGGGTTAGATTCCGACCTGGATACCTGCTGCATATTTGGAGATTGCGTCTCTCTCAACATCATCACGGTGGCTAGGAGATGTTACCTCCCTCGCCTGATTTACAGGCGGTCGTGGGTTCGATTCCGACTCTGATGCCTGCTGTATATTTGAAGTTTGCGTGTCTCTCTCTCATCATCATCACAGTGGCTAGGAGATGTTAACTACCTCGCCTGGTCTACAGGAGGTCGTGGGTTCAATCGCAACCCTGACGCCTGCTGTACATTTGGAGTTTGCGTGTTCTTTTCATGTATTTATGTAGCGATTTTTATCCAAGGCGCATTACGCGGGTTATGAGCGGTACAATGAGGGTAGCTACAAGTGCTAGGGATGGGGTATGGGGAGGCAGGTTAGTGGGTAAGAGAATTACAGCGGGTACCTAGGGATGGAGGGAACGACGCGCCAAGGAGGAGAGTAAACGAGACAGGGAGGGTGCTACTCGCTTCATGTGGAGGGGAAGTTCGCTTCAGTGCAAGGGAGCAAGTAGGGAACAGGAGCGGGACCGGGATTGTGCACAAGGAGCGGGGGGAGACGGTGATGAGTAGGAGGAGTGATTGAGAGTGGAGCGGGCGGGAGGAGACGTAAAACGAGACATGGGAAGCAAGGTAAGGTGGGGGGCAAGGCCATGGAGAGATTTAAATGACAGCGTGAGGAGCTCGAATAAACACCGCGAGTAGATGGGCAGCCCGGTGCATTTCTACGAGAAGGTGCGGGGGGAGCAGTGTGGTCGGTTGTAAATTAAACGTGCGGACGCATTTTGGATCTGTTGTAGTGGAATGAACGCATCGGCTGAGAGACCGAGGAGTGTGGTTTATTGTTCTGGGTCGTTCGGTTTTTCCATTCCCATTTAGAAACATGCTTCTAGAGTGTTTGGATGCAATACATTTCCACGTGATGAGCCATTCTGTTGAGCTTTTATATTTACGCTCTTTGGGTCTTTCGGTAAAGTCACGTAGGTGACTTTTGAAAAAGAGCTATATTGCTCAGTGGGCCTGCCCTGGTAAAATAAAATTAGTTTATAGTTTTTTTTATTGTATGTTGAACTTCTTTCACACTGTAAGTAGCCAACTGTGATAATCGGAGGTGCGGGGGAAGGACAACAAACTAAACACAACAAGCAGTTCTACATGAATGAGATTTCAATGTAGATGCAAAAGTGCCATAGCTCCAGTGGCTTCCTAATATCGGAAGAAAGAGCTGTTCCAGACGGCCGCAGAGGCGCATCTTAAAGCGCGCACGGTACGGTGACCGTCTTTGTTCGACGGCCAGCCAAAATCCGCCGCTGCTGCTGCTAGGATGACCGGAGTTCCCCTGGTGATGGTTTAACCTCCTTGACGAGATTTCCAGAGAGAGACAAACAAGGAAGCAGTAGACAAGAGGTAGAGAGGAGTGAAATGAAAGAGAGAGAGATAGACAAACAAGAGGATGCCAATTCTAGATTTGAAGCCTTCGTGACTGCAAGGATTCATATTGTTAGGTTTTTTCGGTAAAGTCACGTAGGTAAAAAATTTAAATTAATAAAAGTAAAATAAAAATAAAATAAAAATCACGACGTTTCGGAGCACAAGCTTCCGTCTTCAGGTGGAACCGTCACAGCACGATAGCTGTATCAAGTGAGAGAAGCTTGTGTTGCCTCAGAAACGTCGTGATTTTTATTTTATTTTTATTTTACTTTTATTAATTTAAATTTTTTACCTACGTGACTTTACCGAAAAAACCTAAGAGGATGCCAACTAGATCCTTGCGGGGGAAGGGGGGGGGGGCGAAAGGGGGGTTGCACTTCTCCGTACATCCAGCAGTGGATAGATAAAGCCTGTCCAACTTGTACAACTCAGAGCCGAGTTCTTTGCTATCATTCTTCTTTGGTTCTTTCGGTAAAGTGACGTATAAAGATAAAATAATAAATTAAATACTAGCATACGACGTTTCGATTGCAACACAAGCAATCATCATCAGGTATAAATGAAATAGAAACACAAATCTAGTATAATAATTGTTTTTTTTACCCTTCTATCAGGCAACAAAACTGACACCTTTTTACAAGGAGTCATGTTTGCATAGACCACAATACCTGTAGTCATAATGCAAACATCTGGTCCAACCCATGTGAGACTAGGCTCTAAGGAAAGCTGTCTCGGGTGTGGACCAATCAACTTCAAGGACAGTGCACATTATCATAATTATGTTTTTTGTTTGCATTATGACTGCAGGTATTGTGGTCTATGCAAACATGACTCCTTGTAAAAAGGTGTCAGTTTTGTTGCCAGATAGAAGGGTAAAAAAAACAATTATCATATTTTTACTGGCAAATGAGGTTCCCATGGTGTAAATCTAGTATACTTAGAAATAATAATGTAATACAACAGAGAGTCGGATAATATACGTGACTTTACCGAAAGAACCAAAGAATAATTCCTGCAGTCATGAAAGCTTCAAATTAAGTTTCTTTATTATCCTTATCACGAGACCACCCCCCTCACCGTCCGGCCGCCACCGTGTTTGCCTAGGGCAGGGACTGGGCGAGCGGGCGGGCGGGCGCGAGAGTTTCCCCGCGACGTTTGCACAATGACCAAGTGGCTGTATCGGGGGTGCCACTGCCCTGACGACCCTGTGGACATTGGACCCACGTTGGGATCCACACCTCCCCATTGTTCGAACGCCACAATGGCAACGGCCTCCGCAGTTTGATGAGGGGGGTGGGGGGGGACACACCGAAATCACAACCTCAAAACGCCGTGGCTTACCTCATCATAGGAGTTGCGCCGGCGTGCTAACTGCTGCGCCGCCGCTCCAACCCGGGTTCTCAATGGCAACGCCGCGGATTTGTCAAACGCGCGCACCGCATGATGTGGACCAACGCTGCCCTAGATTTGAAGCTTTCGTGACTGCAAGGATTCATACGCTTAGTTTTTTCGGTAAAGTCACGTAGGTAAAAAAAAATAAATTAAAATTCATAAAAAATAAAATAATAAAAATCACGACGTTTCGGAGGCAACACAAGTCTCCGTCATCAGGTGGGACCGTTACAGACAGATTTGCTGTAGCAAATGCTGTAGCAAATCTGGCTGTGACGGTCCCACCTGTAGCAAATCTGGCTGTGACGGTCCCACCTGATGACGGAGACTTGTGTTGCCTCCGAAACGTCGTGATTTTTTAAATTATTTTTTAAAATAAATTTTCATTTCATTTTTTTTACCTACGTGACTTTACCGAAAAAAACTAAGAGTAAGTAACAACACTGCCCTGCCCGTAACGTATGAAAATAACGGACGGTGTAAATACGGCGATGGAATTCCGATGACGATGCTAAAGAGCGAAGACGATAATATGACCGTGACAGTGATGATGTTGATGCTGATGGGACAGAATAATAAAATGTATTTGTATTGGAGCAATCCGATGAGCTATGAAGCTCTTGTTCACAGGTGTCCAGTCGGTGCAGCTCAGAACGGTAAGAGTGCAAAGTATAAGAAAGGTAAACAACAACAAAAATAAACAAACAGAACTAAACAATTTTTTTTATCTTACTAGGTAAAGGCCACTGAGGTGTTCACTTAATTTTTAGAAGTAACCTGGCGACAAATAATGGCTCAACCAAGTGGCATATAGTGTTGAAGTGGCGATGATCTGACCACTAAGATGGCAACGGTGATTATGACGATGAGTTGTTCGCGATAGAGCCGCCCTCCGTTACGCCGGGCGCTGTTGACATCGCATCTCATCTCTTGAACATGCCGAGAGCACCCCCAGTAGGAGCTGTCCCTGTGCGGCTGCCAGCACGGCGGCGATGACTGCCGCTGCTGCCGCGCATGATCCCAATTGAGTGATTTGCGGGGTGATTTTGTTTGGGGGAATTTTGGCAATTTATTTTTTAACTCGTGACACCAACACACGACGGCCCTCTGCTCGTTTCTAACGACGCCGCGGGCTCTTTAGCATCCACCCACCAGCGAGTGACGTGGATGGCCCGGAGCATTTAGTAGGTTAATACTCGCAGAGACGCAGCGTTGGCCGAGGCGGCCCGCCGAAACCGAACCGCGAGCCTCTGCAATGATGAGAGGCGCTCCCCCGGCCGGGTCACCGCGTCGGCACCCCAAATGCAACGACGATGGCAACAACAATAGTAACCATGACGATGACCGCAATGGCAATGATGGCAACAATGGAAACAACAATGGTAACGATGACCACAATGGCAATGATGGCAACAATGGAAACAACAATGGTAACGATGACCACAACGGCAATGATGGCAACAATGGAAACAACAATGGTAACAATGACCACAATGGCAATGATCGCAACGACGATGGCAGCGGCAACGACAATGGCAGCCAGGGGTGCCAAACGATGCCGACCACAACAATGACCACGTGGGACTAGCCGTTATGACGTCACAACGACAATGACGTCATCGACAACGTGGTTGCTCACCTCGCACACGGAGCCGCGGTCCTCGCTGGGGCAGCTTGGCCTCCTCTCGGCGGCCGGGCGGGGCGAGTCCAGGCTGTGCGAACGCTGGTAGCGGCTCTCGTACTCCTCCAGCTGAGTACGTGGGCACACACACACGCACACACACACACACATGCACACACACACACACGCACACACACGCACACACACGCACACACACACATGCACACACACACACACGCACACACACACAGAGATACAGGTAAAGGTCCCCCGCCGCACGAGGGGGGTGGTGTGGACAGGACCACGCCCGTCCGCCTTTGTCTCCTCAGCGGTGATGCTTACGCACCGCCCTGGGAACTGTGCTCTTGTGAGGATAAGGGGAAGCCCATGGCTGGTTTAGATATTCGCCACTGATGTTGGCCGTGAGTGGGAATCAAACTCGGAGCACCGGGTTCGGTATCGCTGTGCGATAACGACTACGCTACCGTTCCCTACACACACACACACACAGAACGGCCCGGGAAAGCAGACATCACATAGCTGCATCTGAGACAATTGACCTCTGACCTACACATAGTAGAGGGCAGCACTTTCTCACTCACTCCCTCACCGAGAGTAATGTTCGTCACGTGACGGTAAATCCTACAATTTTAGATTTTCAGAGGTGGAATTCAGCCAACTTTCAGCGCAGGACCAAACTTAATGTGATGGGGTTTTTGTTGTCCAGATATTGATCGCTGGGCAAAGACCATCAACTCACGACTTAACTTCAGAACCCGGTTTAAATCACTGCTCAGTCTATGCAAGTCGTTTATTCCCTGTGTGATTCAATGATTCTCGATGTAAGTCTATGGGTCTCTGTGTGAGTCTATGGGTCTCTGTGTGAGTCTATGGGTCTGTGTGAGTTGATGGGTCCCTGTGTGGGTCTATGGGTCTCTGTGTGAGTCTATGGGTCCCTGTGTGGGTCTATGGGTCTCTGTGTGGGTCTATGGGTCTCTGTGTGAGTCTATGGGTCTCTATGTGAGTCTATGGAACCCTGTGTGAGTCTATGGGTCTCTGTGTGAGTCTATGGGTCTGGAGCCACTGTTGACCAAGCTGAGACCACGGGCGACCGCCGAATGAGTGCAAATCTCCACGGAGGTTTGCAAGACCTGCTTTCTGTACCGCCCTGGCGAGATCAAAAACAATAAATACTTTGACCGGCGGATGTGTATATTTTACTTGCTTTAGCGCGTTGGTCTACATATCCGTCAAATGCACGTGCCACCGTTGTTGTTTTTTTTCTTCCTAGAATTGATCAGAAATTAACCATGGGAGAGTTCACGCGGACTTTTGAAACGTGCCGATGTTGCGCTCTCGCGCGGTTTGCCGAATCGTCGCACTGCTGTCGGACCGTGGGTGGAGCGGGGGGCGGGGGTGGGGGAGTGGTGGCGCAGCGGTTAGCGCAACCGGCCCCGCGATCCACCACCGCTCACGGCCAACATTGGTGGCGAGTGACGGGCTGTATATGAACCCAGTGCGGGGTCTCCTCTAGATTTACTCGGACGTAAAACGTCAGCACAGGGGAGACAAAGGCGGCTTGGCATTGGTGCTGTCCACAACACCCCTTCATTAGGTGAACCGCGCCGGCCTTAATAGGCGTTCGCTAACAGCACTTGCCCCAACAGTGTGATAAGGCTACACGATGGGTGTGGGTGTGTGTTTAGTGGTGGCTGTGCGTGTGTAGGCACGCGTGTGTGTTTGTGTGCAGATGTTGGAGTTCGGGTTAAAGGCGACGAACACGGCTAACATCAGCGGCGGGCGATAGATGAATGGCTCCTGGCGATTCGGCATCAGTTGTGAAGAATTTCACAAATTGAATGAAACTGAACACAGCTCGTAGCACCGGCTTGTGACACACGGACTGTTGCGACACACGGGCTCAGTAAAGCAGTCATTGAAGGGGGGAAAAAAACCCGGAGGGTGGAGACGATGCTTCAGAGAGCACGAGCCACAATACGGAGGTGCAGGGGAGGGGAATAATAATAACGGAGTGGCAGCCAAGGAATGGAATGAGTCCGAGAGGACGTCCCACGGGGGAGAGACGGAGCAACGAAAATGAGCTCCTCGTGTCTACAGCAGGTGTTAAATCGCAGGCGGTGGCGGCTTGGCGAGGCCTTCGTCCAGCAGTGGATTGACCACGGCTGACGATGACGACGACACTTGGAAGGGGCACAAATGTGACCCCCCCAGTGATCCCCCTACGGGAGCGCGTGCCGGAGTGGTTTTGAACAATGCGCACTCCCTGCCGCCACTCGTCACCGACAAGTACCGACAGAATCAATATCCAAACAGAGCAATTACTGCCACGAGCACAACAACAACACCACCTCAAACACCACCACCACCAACCACCAACAACAACCGCCATTCGCCACTAAGTGGCGGTGACGTCACCACGGCACTTGTTGTGCCAGGCTATGTGCACGTTAAGGCCACGTGAAGCGTCGAGCGCCCGCTGGCAGGAGGTCACGGGGACAGACCACCGCCACTACCGCCAACCACCATCCGTACAAGTGCTACCATCATCACTTCCACCATCGCCACCATCGCCATCACCGCCGCCGCCGACGGGAAAACACAACCTCTGAGACCTGCCACGACTACAAAGACCACCGCCGCCGTAATCACCGCCGCCACGACCGCCACACGCGGAGCGACGCTTCGTTAGACTCCGCTGAAGCAGGGCAAGGAACTTTGCCTCGTGCCTAATTAAACCTCGGCGCAGATAACCGTGTGGACTGGAGGGCTCAAACATTCGGGAATGTGGGGCTGGTGGCTGGTGGTGGAGGCTTGTGAAGTGTGAGGCCCCTCTCACAACCGCCACCGCTGCAGCCCCCTTCTACCCCACCACTCCTCCACAGCTGTTTAAAGTTTCTCAAAAGCCGAGCGAGAAAAAATTTCAGAGAGCGCAAACAGAGCGTGCGCGCGTGCCTGACATTGCACTAACAATTCCCCAAGCAGCCTCCTTGTCCTCGTCCTCCTCCTCCTCCACGTACCCCACCCCCCTTGCTCCTCCTCATCCTCCTCCCGTTCCGCTCAGAGTCGCAGCGAGAGGAGCGCTAACGATGTTCCTGGGCGTCTCACCCGAAGCAAGTTGAAAAACGCTTTCATCCTTCGAGTCGCCCGCTCTTCCAGCCCTCCTCCTCCGCCGCCGCCACCGCCACCACCGCCGCCACCGCCACCACCGCCACCGCCGAGATGAGCCACGCAAGTAACGCTCGCTCGCTCTCTCAATTGCTCAGTTCCAGATGAGAACCCCCAAAACCGCCCCCATTCCCCCCCATAGTTCCCCCTCCCCCCACGTGCCCCACCCAAACCCCCCCACCCCTGCGTGGCCAATGGGACTCCCACCCCCCCGCCGCCGACTCCCCCCCCCCTACTCCTGAACCGGGAGCGACTGTATGCGTCCAGTGGCCCACTCATCCCGGACAGCCAAAATTGAAAACGAACTTCTCTGAAACCGCTTTCTGTCGTGCCGAGTTTGTCGTCCGTCCCCCCTGGCACCTCCGACAAGCAACGGTCGTCTCCGTAGGGTGGTGCGAGAGAAGTTAAACGTGCGGGACACACGGATACAGCCACCCCCCCCCCCCCCCCCCGCGTGAATCGTTCGAACGACAAGAGGAGCGCGTGCGTCGCCTCGGGCAGCCGTCCCTGCGGGGCGCAAGGCGACTCTCCGCGCACGCCGGCATGGAGACCCCTGGCTCTCGGCCACGGTGTCAGCTCGACGTCTCCGACCCCTCCGAGGGGACCGGAAGGCCCCCTTCTCTACACACGCCGCTGTCGCGTTCCTAGGAAATATTCACAGCCACGGGGCTCTGTGGCGGGGGGGGGGGGGGGGGGGCGGTGGCGGTGGGTGTACGACGGTAAAATTGGAATTGGGATGAGGACGTAGAGGGGGTGGGGGCCAGGTTAGTGTGGTGGGGGGTGGGGGGGGGGGAGATTAAATAATAAATAAAAGGGCGCCACTGCCGAGGCTCTCGCGGCCGCTGCTGCGTTGGCGGTAGTGGTGCTCAACCAACAACAACAACAGCAGCAGCAGCAGCACTCGTCAACACACAGCACTGGGTGTGCGGCGTCAAAATAAACAAACGCAGCAGGCGACGTTCGCGGGCCACGGTGCTTCTTCGCGGCACGTACTGCACATGTTTGGTGCGCTGTGAAGAAGGGCCGTTGCCCGAAACGTCGCCTGCTACATCCGTCTCCTTCCAGGGCACAAAACCTCGCCGGTGTCTCGTCAAGCAGCATAAAGCACCGCCACCGCCACCGCCACCTCGCGAACTCCGGCCATCCTCGCAGAAGCAGCGGCGGCAGCGGCGGCTTTTGGCTCAGCCATCGAACAAAAACGGTGATCGATGCATCGCGCGGCGCTTTCAGATGCGCTTCTGTGGCCGTCTGGAACGCTCTTCCTTCCGATGTTAGGAGGCCACTGGGAGCGATGGCACTCTTGAATCGTCTGGCATTGACAAACTCGTTGTGGAGAATGTAACCAAGGCAATAGAGAGGCAGACGTCTCCGCCGCGTGTTCCGTCTCCCACACGTGAAACATCAGAGCGTCTCTTAAACAACGATGCTTATTTTTACGTTTGGCCGTGTCAAGTGATCGAGCAGGGGATGAGTGCAACCCGCCACGTCGTGACGCGAGAGAGCGAGCCGTTACAGCCGCGGTGGTGAGATGATAACTACCTCGCCTGGTATACAGGAGGTCTGGGTTTGATCCCAACCCTGACAACTGCTGCTGTATATTTGGTCGCGTGGATTTTTCTCCGGGTCCTCCGGTTTTTCCTTCCAACCTTTAGAAGCGACGTCGCGCGCTTGGAATATTTTTTGGCTGCAGTCAATGTCCACGCGATGAGCCACTTTCGTTGAACTATCATCATTTGCGGGAGCCAGGTCGCGTCTGAGACAAGAAATATGCGGTAATTTTAGCTGTGACGGTCCCACCTGATGACGGAGACTTGTGTTGCCTCCGAAACGTCGTGATTTATTATTTTATTTTATTTCCATTATCACTTTTATTAACGTTTAATTTTATTTTTTACCTACGTGACTTTACCGAAAAAACCTAAGAGTATGAATCCTTGCAGTCA